GGGGTAAATTTTTTGGTCACTGACCGCCGTGTGCGGTGGCGGAGTGCTTCGGTGAATGGTGACCGGGGCTGTCGATCTCCCCCTGAGGGAAGTTAGAGAGAGGCTAGAGAGAATGTTTTCTCTCTTTTAAGAGAGAGAGAAAGTGATAAAATGAAGAGTATAGGCCATTTTCGGTCGGTTTGGGGGAATATATACTCTCCCCATACGATGTCATTTCGGGGGAGGGATTGTGCGTTTTGGGCGCAGGGATATCATTTCGCAACCCTTCCTACTTTGTAAATGTTCGATTAGTCACTAAATGGAATTTGAATCCTTTATTTCGAGCGCCCTCTTTTAATGGTTTCTATTTTGGTCTTGAATGATTGATGATGGTTAAATTACGTTTCCAGTGCCTAGCTTTCTTGTTATTCTTGTTTATGACCATTACTTTTGCTTGGTTTACAATTTAGTCCTCAATTTAATATTTTATTATTTTAGTTCTGAATAATGATGTTGGTATATTTACGATTATGGTGCCTAATTTGTACAATATTCGCAATGGTTACCCTAGGCTTGCTGATTTTGCAGTTTGGTCTTAAAAGTTTTTGTCTTTTTGTCATATTTAGTACGGTATAATCGCTTGTTGTATTGTGTTTTAATATTTTCTTGTTTGTTACATGCTATTAGGAAGCTATTAAAGTGTATGAGTTCGATCAACATGTATATTAGTATTTTTCTTTTAGAAAATATATTAAATATTATTTTGTGCGAATTTATAGAAACGCGCCTTAACTGACAAGGAGTGTGTTTCGAATAATTGTTCGAACAAAATAATACCTTTTATATTTGAATGGTTTTTTTATATATGTATTTTATTTATAAGCTAAGACAATATTATTTGTATGGGAATCTATTGAAACGTGCCTTAACTACGAGGATCACGTTCCCGATGGTTGTTCATACAAAATAACACTTTTTTTATTATTCGAGTTTTTTGAACAAAAAAAAGATCATTATGTATATATGACTTATTAAAATTAGGGCAATATTATGTTATATGGAGAGTCCATGGAAGTGCCCTTAACTGACAAGGAGAGTATTTCTGAGAATTATTCGTACAAAATAATACCCCTTTTATTTTATTTTTAAAGAATCATAATTTAAATGTATATTCAAATTTTCCACTTTCAACATTCAGATGACGTATAATCGCTTAGGTACCGATTTCGGGCGTTGTGGAGTGCTAATCCTTCCCCACGCGTAATCTTCTCCCGAACCCTTATTCAAACGAAATATCTGGTCAACGCTATCCTTTTTTTATCTTTTAAAATTATTTTTCTTAAAAATTTTTTAAAAAGGTATTTTTAGGTATTCGACCTACCTAACTCAAGGTCGATGGCGACTCCAAATATTTTTTTGTTTGATTTTAAAACCTAACTTTTTCCAAGATTAAATTGGATCGCTCATTGTCATAAAGCTTAAGGATCGTTACAGCTTGGCGACTTCGCTTGGGAGATTAGAGAGTCAGGTCGTAATCAATTATACGCCATCTTTTTAGTTAAAAATTGTAAATTTGAATGATATTTAAATTTTGATCCTCATGTTTTTGTTTTCATCACATCATATATCGTTTATTTATTAGTTGTACTAATGTGTGATTTACATGTTTCAGATTTCTGACCTTTTTTTAGTTTGTTTGTTTTGGATCGAGGCAAAGGATTGTGAGTTTCCCCTCACACACGCAATAATCATTGAAAGATTTAGAGCCTTCTAATGTGCTCTATCCCGTTACGTATGGGTGAACGCTACGCTTACATGAGAAAAATTATTTTTCTCCGCATGGGCTTTAACAAGTAACCTCTAGGGTACATATGCCTTGTGTTTACGAGTGAAATATTGAGTTTCCGCATATACATAGGGAAATGCTTCTCTCAACTGAACTTGATTGTTTAACCCTATAATGGGTGAGGGTCGAGGGTCTGGCAAGCCCAAAGAGGAACCAGCAAAGGACAATTCGATGACTTTTTTAGTAATACCAAAACTCTGTCTTTTTCGTACCGAAATTATGTCGTGGTTCTTCAAAAAGTCACAAAGGGGAACTCACTCTAACCTTTCTCGAAATTATTTATTTATTTTGCAAAAAGCATGAGAATTAGAAGAGTGTGAGGTTAGGTTTATATTTCCGTATGAAGCCTGTGAACTAGATGGCATGAGGTTATTATATGTTGAACAAAGCATGGGGTAGAAAACATGTCTGGGTAGAACTGTTATAAAAGCATGTCAGGGTAGATACAATATTGGGTAAGATCTTTTCTTTTTCGTAAATAATTTTCTGCTTTTTTGGTTGAATTGCACTAACAATTTCTTTTTTTTTATCTTATTTTTCTGTCTTTTGTTTGCATTTGCATTTTCACATCATAACCAAATAGGGGGTAATTCATAAGTGATTGACCAGATTAGACGTTTTCATATTGACATAAGAGTTCCATAACTAGGTAGTCAAATCCATAAGGGCGACGACTTACAAACAAGTTGATTACAAAATAAAAGTTCAAAGTCGATCGATGACTCCTATTAAATGAACGAAGATCGAGATGGTATCAAATAGTTGGATTCTAGTTGAGTCAAGAATGAGAAGATCTTCACAAGATATCAAGGTTGTTTTTCGCTGAGAATCCCACTGAAATAAAGGTCTAGAGATTCAACAATCGCAGTAGGTGAATTAATATGAAGCTCGTCTGTCTAGTGTAAGGAAATCTTATGGTTGATGAAGATTGTCTATAGTGGTCGCTTTTGGAATTAACGTCTTGTGCATTTTCATTTGCATTTGCATTCTTGTTTCACATTAGCTCATTAATTTATTTATTTTGTTATTATTGATTTTATAATAAATGTCTTGTATCTTATTTGTACTAACTTATTTTGTGTTGCTTTTCTTTCTCTTGCATCGCATGATCATAACATTTTTCATAGGTGTTGATTTATGAGTGGTCATCAGAATAAAAGGTTTTCATGATGGACAAAGGGTTCTCAGTAGACTATAATATAGCTAGAGAATGGCATCTTGAGGAATCTCTGAGAATGGTGGAGAGTTGTGCACCCAAAGATCGTATGTCTGACGAGAGCAAAAGGAGATAAAAGACGAGGGAAAATGTCCAAGATAATGGATAAAGTAACTGCTTTGGCCAAAGGAAAGTAGACTTCTGCAAAAGGAAAGAAAGAGCTTGATGAAAACAATCTCGCAATGTTAAATACACAAAGAGGGACACACAAAGGGTGTAGAAGATTTCTATTCCTTAAAAGGGTAAAATATTATAAGTCTCTCTAAAAATTAAACAATCACAAAATAACATATGGTACAAATATGATTTAGTCCTTATAAAATTTTACATTATGAATTAATATAGTAATAAATTACACGATTCCTGTAAAAATCATAATCTATTTAAACTTTTTTTATTTTGTCTCTATAAACAAAGATAGATGCAATTTGATGTTACATATATAAAATTTTAGAGAGTAATATTAAAAGTTGTGGGATGTAACTAACAATTAGTTAATTCAGTGGGATGGACACTACATCTTTTAAGTAAGGTCATGAGTTCGAAACTTGACGTTTGTGAATTGAGTAAATTGGATTGGAATGACGTCCATATATTAGGTATATAAATACTCAATTAATAGATCGACTTCAGATGATTATACCAAAATTAAAGATGCGATAATAGATTATTAATGATAAAAACTATCTATACATAGGAGAATTATAACACCGAGTTAATCTTATCCCTACTTATGTTTATTTGCATGCAACTAAAATTTAGTATAATAGAATAGAAAATTTTTGGTTATCCAGTCATCTAAATTGAAATACGATATTTATGTCACGGATGACGTGCACCAAAATTTCAATTTTTCTTATAACCTAGTTGAAACTAAGAATGTTCATTAGCCTGTTATGATTAAAATAATTTTTTATTTTATTTAATGAAAACGAATTAATTCAACAATCCCAATTTGATTAATTTTTTTTCCATTTTAATTTATACGATTAATGATTAAAAATATTCAATCGTGCTATTAATGACTAAATTTTTCATAATTGAACGTTAGTTGAAAATTAACTCATAACAACCTTTTTCGATTAAGTCATTTGATTATTTTATTTAAAAAAAGTCAACTATCGAAAAATTATTTTAAAAAATTAACAGGGTTTGTTTAAGTGATAAACAACTTAATATCGCTCAAGTAAAGTTTGAAGTTCAAGTCATTGTGTATGCAGAAAATCTTTGTTAAGATACTCACCTACCAAAGTCAGGTGTGCGATGCAGATCGGTCCAAATTATTTAAGATGAAGCCCTGGAATCAAGAGGAAAACAAAAAAAATTTAAAAAAAAAATTAAACTCTAGTATTAGTCCTTGAGTTTATGTTAGGACAGGTCAGACCAGGTGGTGGTTTTTTCAAAGATAAAGTTAAGTAGAGTATGATTCAGGTTTGGGGTGAAAAATTTGTATGTACCCGAGATAATAATATAACTATCCCTTGCATATTTAAGGATAATTATAATAATACCATTTTGTCTATATTTTTCTTAGTAGGTCTCTATTTTACTTACTAAATATAAGAATTATATAATTTTATCGGTCGAGTCGAGTACTAATTGTTATTCAGAAAATCAATATGATATGATCGAATGTAATCTTTTTAAATTTGAGTATGTTCGAATGTCAGATAAATGAATAGAATATTTAAACTGAATCTATCAAAAAGTTGAACTTTAACGGTGAAATATAATATTATTAGGGCTTGAACTTTAATCTTTGATGTCAACACTTTTTTTTATATTTAGTTCTAAAACATAAATTATTTCATGAGTTCACATTTCGGCCTGTCCTATGTCATGTTTTTTGACTTTCTTATTACAACTTAAACCACTGCCATGGCTGACCAAAAACAGTTCTTTTGATACCCCATTAATCCTTCTCCCTTCTTCTTCTTCATCCTTTCACCCTTCCATGAAATGAACACAACGTCAGACTCCGAGCATGAGTTCTTCGGAGGCCCCGACAACGTCAGAGGATTCGGATATGGTATCGGAGTTTCCGTCGGAATCATCTTCTGTATCATCGCCGTTGCATTGGCTTCCTACGGTTGGACCAAGGCACGTCAACGACAACGAGCCCTACCGCCTTCGAACAGCCAAGAATCCGTTGCGGTTGATTCCGGAAGCTTAGTTGTCGATGTCGCCGGCCTTGATGAGGAAACGATAAAAAGCTACCCGAAGTTGATGTACTCCGAGGCCAAGCGGAAGAAGAAAGATTGTGCGGATACGTGCTGCTCCATATGCTTGGCTGACTACAACCGTAATGATCGTCTTAGGCAGCTGCCTGGTTGCGGCCATTTGTTCCATCTCAAGTGCATCGACCACTGGTTGCGGTTGCACGGACGTCCTGTTTGCCGTACGCAGTTGTCGCAGCCGCTTGCTGATGATCAGGTGGTTCCTTTGCCAAGCAGGCCCGGTGCTTGATATGAAAGAATATTGTTATTTGGATTTCTGTTTTCCTCTAATCTCATACCTTTCATTCACCCAATAATTTTATATATTTTCTTCCCATTCAAAATAGAAATATATTAAATTACAATAAATATTTATAATCATAATCGTAAAGTACATAATTAGATAATTTTCTAGAATCATGAACAAAACTAGTAACTTAAAATCACATATGGACCATACAAAGAAAGATTAAAATATAACTAAGAAAAATTGAACAAAATAGATACAAACAAATATGTATCAGTAAACGAACTATAAAAATGATCAAGCTACTAAAAGATTACCAACAAACCGTAAATCAATCCCAAGTGACGTAAAAAAGCTCCACGAACGCATAAAGGATATTCGATTCTAATGTGAGGGTCCAAAGCAGAGAAGATCAATAATATAATAGATAAACGTCATTTTGATTAGTCGTGACGATGTCGACTAAACCCTTGAAAAAATAAGTGAAAACAATGGTCAAACAACAAAAAACGTGACATACAAGTAGATTTATTGAAAATGAAAAATTAATATAAGAAAATAAAGATGTAATATAAAAAATAAAAGGAAATAAAGAAGATTGAAGATTGATAACTAATATTAAAGTTGGTGTCGTCACCGAAAAAATAAAAGAACGACTTACCAGTTAAAAAGAAATAGGAGAGAAAATACTAAGGTGGTGTTTGTTTTCACTGTTTAAGGTCTTCAAAGCTCTTATATCGCCGCGCAGACCACGCGCAGACATTAAGCTTCGCAGACCATTTGTTTGTTAGAAGACAGAAGCTCTTCTAACGTCTGCGCGTCCTATTCTTGGCGCAGACGTGGACTTATGTCTTCAAAGCTCTTCTAACCTCTTCAAAGAACCATTTTTGCTATTAATTTTTTAAAAATTATAAAATGTCATTAAATTTAATGAATTATTACAAAATAGTCACTATAATGTTGTAATAATTATAAAAGTTTGATAATATAATAATTATTTTATATTTAGATAAATTATTAATAATTTTATAATCTTTTAAAATTTATAAGTATTTTATAATTTTTTAAACTTTGTTGACGAAAATGATCATTTGTATATAACTCAACGATATCTAATATACTTTATTTGAAAAAATATATTAAACTTAGTAAAAAATATTATACAATTAAACTTAGTAAACTTTTTTTTATATAAAAACTTAAATAAATATTTTAATAAAAAAAAATCACACTATTGAAAAATCTGATCTTATCATTTAATTCTGGTAAAGTACGAAAGTCCCTTTATACAAAATAATAAATAAAAAATAAATAATATATTTTTTCTAAATAGAAAAAATACATGATGATATTATATGGATATTATATATATTTTTGATGTTACTAGAATCGGATTCTACCACTCGAATAAATTAAGATGATTTAAATGATATTATAAAATCGAGTATTGATATATTTGTGAATCGATAATAATTGATAATTAAAATATAATTTTTTTACATTACTAAACCAAACAAACAGATTGAATTAAAATCAAATTGATTTCATTATCGATTGATTTAATAATAATTTTAAAATGATATATAATATTAAAACCAAAATCTAATAGTCGTAGATGTAATAATTTAATAATAAAATTCGTATAATTTATTTAATATATTTTTTTCAAATAAAGTATTAGATATCGTTGAGCTATATACAAATAATCATTTTCGTCAATAAAATTTAAAAAATTATAAAATACTTATTAATTTATTAAAAGATAATAAAATTATAATAATTTATCTAAATACTATAAAATAATTATTATATTATCAAACTTTTATAATTTATTACAACATTATAGTGATTATTTGTAGTAATTCATTAAATTTAATGACATTTTATAATTTTTTAAAAATTAATAGCAAAAATGGTTATTTAAGTATAGTTTAAAAATCAGTTTATTTATATTTCAGTTTATTTAGCAGTATGTAGCGTTAAAAAACAAACAGTCTCTTCTGCAGACTGCAGACTTTTGGTCTACCTCTTCTGTTGTAGATGCCTGCAGATGGTCCGCAGACTGCAGACCTTTTACCTCTGCAAAAACAACACCACCTAAGTTTATCTTTTACTCTTTAAACATTAAGTTATATTTTTTAATTTGCATAATGTAAAAAAAAATCTAATATTTAACTGAATAATTAGTTTAGTCCTTTCTTTAGTACTTTAACAATTAATGTTTTATTTTAAAATAAAATAATTTATTATAGGTTGAAAATTATTAACTCACGTGATAATTTTATATCTCTAAAGTAATTATATAATATATATATGTACATAAATGATATATAACATGAACTAGGTCGTCATTTAAGATACATAGGAACTTATTGTCCTTATCGTACGGTCCATGGAGACTTAGACACTGCCGTTTTAAAAGCCAAACATGCTCGTAATTTTGTTCTTGTTAGAAAGGTTAGTTTGGCTCCCATCTTCTTCATTAATTTTCTGATATTTCTGATATCAGCTGTTTTAAGTTTAACTGTAGTTGAGATGAATAATGATGGGGTATTAGATAAGACGATAGTGAGGCAGATGAGCACTGAGGATTTGAAAGGATGATAATTAACGAGATGCATGATAAAAGATACGAAGAAATGAAGTTCAAGGCGAGGTCAAGGGCAGGGAAGTTTTGAGGTCATCGTTGCGTGATGTCTTTTCCACGGAGGTCAAGCTCGGTTACTGGGCTTTTTTACCCCACTGACACCGTTTATTTTTATTTACTTTTCTAACACCGTTCGAAATATTTCCAAAACTAGCACCTTTCTGGTTGGCAAAGGCGCGTCCCGGGGGCGCGCTTTACCCGTGTTTCGCTGAGTTGGATGCCAGTGTGAAAGGCGCGTCCCCGGGGACTCGCCTTTGCCATATCAGCAGACACGTGTGGAAGGCGCATCCCCGGGGACGCGCCTTCCATTAAATGTCATTAATGCCCCCATCCGTTTTTCCATTAAATGCCATTTGCAAACTTCATGGTGAATGGGATTCCTCTTACAACGAGCTGCCCAGTTGGTTTCATGTTGTGCAAAGACTTAATCCCGGGACAATTGTTGAGTTCGAAAACTCAATCATTACGTGATGATCGAATGGTTCGCGATCGCTGCCAATTTTACCGAGTCTTTTGGACTTACCCTCAGTGTATTAATGCAGTCAGTACTGTAAACCAATTGTCCAAATTGATGGTACTTTCTTGTATGGGAAATACAAGCAAGTTTTATTATTGGCTGTGGTCCAAGATGGAAACCGCAATATTCTTCCTGTTGCGTTTGCCCTCGTTCAAGGAGAAGACACTGAGTCTTGGGCTTTTTTCCTTAAAATTTACGTTTACATGTTGTCACCAGGGAACGAGTATGCATTATTTCAGACCGAGGAGCCGGGATAAAAGCAGCAATGGACTCTTGGGTACAATGTATAGACCTCCACATGTTCAACATCGTTATTGTGTCCGTCATATTGCTGCAAACATTACGGAAATACAAGAAGAACGATGACGTCAGTTAGTCGGCGGATGGGTATGTTACTTTTCCCAATTTTTCTATCAATTTCTTATTACTTATTTATAACTTCATATTAACTATTACATATTCCTAATGACTTAGGTTACGAACTCTTACCTCAAGGTTGAGTCGATGCTACAAGAGCTGTTGGCAAAAATAAGAAGGGGTGCGAGTACATTATGGACATCAGCAAAGAAATGTGGACAAATGCATATGACGGGGGTATCGCTATGGTCATATGACAACAAACTTGGCTGAAGCAATAAATTCAACCTTAAAGGGGGGCGCGTCATTTACCAGTCACGGCGTTGGTCAAAACGACTTATTTTCGTTTGGGTCAACTCTTTGCAAACTCGGTGGACAAGCTCTTACTTGGGCAAAACGGACATATTTACCACCCAAGACTAGTAGCGATTTACAGAAAAAATGGCTACATCAAATGGGATGTTAGTTACAAATTTTTCTCGCACCCGTGAATTGTTCGTGTAACCGAAATGCCACGTCCGCTGCAAGGGATTGAAGCTAACTCTTTCAGAGTTAATCTGCAAGAGAGGTGGTGCGATTGTGGTTTCTTTCAAGCACTCAAATATCCATGCTCTCATGCTTGCTGCTTGTCACATTCGCATTTGGACTACAAAAATTATGTTGATCCCGTATACCAACTTTCACAAGTTTTCAAGGTATATGAATTTGAGTTTCCGCCCATAGGAAACGAAAGAGACCCAAATGAGATTCAAACTTGGCTTACAATTGTCCCAGATCCATTGCTATTGAGGACTCAGGTCGTCCAAAATTACTAGAATACATTGTGATATGGATATTCGGGAGAAGTCAACAGAAAAAACGATGTGGGCATTGTAGAAACATCGGGCACAATAGAAAAAATGTCCAGCTCTGTTATCATCTATAACCGTTAACTTATGTAATTAAAGTTTTTAATGAATGTTTTATTTCTAATAATTTAATGTTATTGCATTTATATAATTTGTCAATGTATGTACCTAAATAATTTTTTTAACTTTTAAATACATAAATATATTTAATATATTTATTTAATATAATATTTAATATTATTAGTTATAATTTTTACATTATAATCGAAACATTTTACATAATATAATCGAAACATTTACATATATTATTAATTTATAATAATAATAAAAATAAACTATTTATTATAAAACAAAATACGTGTCTGCTGAGTTGGCAAAGGCGCGTCCGGGGACGCGCCTTTCACACGTGCCATCCAACTCAGCGAAAAAACCGGGTAAAGCGCGCCCCGGGGACGCGCCTTTGCCAACAGCAGAAAGGGTGCTAGTTTGGAAATATTGGTCGAACGGTGTTAGAAAAGTAAAAATAAAAACAAACGGTGTCAGTGGGGTAAAATCACCCGGTTACTGAACCGGCGGTGCAGTACATCTCTGGCCAATTGTACGGCGAGTATGATGAGTTCCCGAAAGTAATGAA